TACTTATACTCTTAAGCTGGTGCCAGTACCACTGCAGGGATCTGAGCTAGAACTGGGGTCTGTGTTCCAAGGATGGGGAAAAGGGTACAGCTCACACAAGCATAAAAAGAGGCACGAGACCCACGTGTGGAGAGGACACTCTATCTTGGACACCAACTGCCTCTTCCTGCTCTTGGGGAAGAGTCACCTCCCTTGTGATACTGGAGGTGGCTTCCCACAGCTTTCCATCCTGGGCTTGTAAACATGAGAATCTTGTGCTGAAATCTCATTTCTGGCCTACCACTCTGCCTAATCCCACACTCCAACGTAAGCACTGTCCAATGACACGTCCAAGAGCCTGTCACTTGTACCTTGGGGAATTCTCATGGAGCAAATTGTATCTCCTGCTCAGTTTTCTTTATCCAAGAAGCATGACCTCATTTTAAATGTAAATCTAGCCTAGGGGTGTAGTTCAGTGGCAGAGCACTTGCCAAGTGAGAGCAAGGCCCTAGGTTTGATCCCTAGCATCACTAATTAATTAAGTAATTAATTAATTAAAGTAAATGTAAATCTAGCCAGCATTACATCTATGCTCCCAATTGAAAAAAAAAGATTATATCAGAACCTTGGCTGTGCTGAAGTAAGAACTCATCTTTGTGCACTGTGTCTTTGTGGCCTTTCGTGTTGTGTGTACCAAGCCCTAAGCTTCCCCTTGCTCCACAGAGACACCATGTGCTCCCTTACCAGCTTTAGGGGCTTAGATCCTGGGTCAGACAAATGCAAGAATGTCCTCCAAGATGAAAGAAGATGCTGCCAGAGAGCAAATAAGCAAGGTGCTTCCTGGGAGGAAGAGATGTATGATTTAGGTGTGTTTGTGTCACCTCCACCTCAGGACACCTAGCGACCACTGAAGGCTGGCCTGGCCTGTCCATGAGGACTTTCTCCAGATTCCAGGCTTCTGCAGGGAAAGGAGGCCTCCGCTGAGTTTCACACTTGAGTGCTGGAATTTCTTTCGGTCCTATTTATAAAATTATCCGTAGATGGTTGCTGCTCTCCAGCCCCATCTGCATTTCCTCTCATTAATCACAGCAGAAATCCCTTTCTGCAGTCTTCATTACCTGCTCAAAACGGATGTGGAGAGAAAACAAACCAGATGCAACTTAGAAAAAGAAAAAAAAAAAAAAACTCGAAGACAAAGCGGTGACTTAACTTTCTTGAAAAGGGAAAGGTGGAAAACGCATAAACTCACAGGCCAGACCACTGCAAGGGAAGCTGGATTTTAAGTCATCTTTGCTTCCTTTGTGCCCCCCCCCCATCCCCTCTAGTGAATTGAGACAAATCTGTAGTTCACCTGGATGGACGATTAGATTTCCTCCTCTCGGTTGCAACAATGAAATATTTCTATAATATTAAACCTGTCAAACTGATCAAAGCGCAGTGTCAAAATTTTAAGCATTCCTTCTTGTCCAATCCCCTCAGCTCTGGCAGAACGGAGCACATTTTATTTGCCTGCCCCCAGACTCCCCGAGGTTTTTAAAATCTGATGCACGTTGTTTCGTCTGCGGTGTTCGTTGCATGGCTGGTGTGGGTGTCTGCCACCACCGACATTGATGGCAGGAGTACTCATTCATTCATTGCCTGCCAAGCACGCCACACACCTTGGAATGCTGCTTGCTTCGCCACACTCCTGCCTGAAGGAAATACGAGTGTCAGTTACACATTGCCACGACATTGTCCTGTGGAACCACCCAGCCAGGTACGGAGCATAGGAGTGGGTCCTTGTTAGCAGGAGCTGCCTATGCAGCCAGCTCACTGAGTGTGGCTTTGTCGTCTTCTGACTCTACCAAAGCCTTAACGTCCCAGAGTCCCAGTTTCTCCGTATGGAAAATGAGTGAGTCCCATTGATGCCTGTCTGCACACACACGCACAACATGATGCAGGTGAACAGGAAGCCAGCCCATGACCAGGCCCAAACAAGGTCAGACGAAGATGATTATGGCTCCGCTTCACAAGATGCAATTCACACTAGAGGATCCATGCTTTCCACACTAAGATGAATCTGAGGGAAGAGTTCTGCTTTGGAGCTAGCCTCATGTGAATCTGTTTCCATTCTGCCTTTTCTCCCCACGTGGTCTGGAACAAATGACTTTGTTTTTTATTTCGAAACCCAGCTTCTTCATTTGAACAATGGAGATGTCTACCTGCCTTTTGATTGTTACAATCTTAAGATAATGAAATGAAATATATATAGATATGACATGCATAAATGTGTGTGTGTGTGTGTGTCTGTGTCTGTATGTCTGTGTGTCTGTGTGTCCTGGAACCTAGTAGGCACTCAGTATGCAATGGCTTTATCACTGAGGCGCCTTGTTTGCAACAGTGTCTGGAAAAAAGGGAAAGAGTGAGCCCACAGCCTGAGAGGTTTCCAGTCTGACACAAGTCTGGCCTGAGAGTGAGGTGAGACTGTTTATTTTGGGTTTCCATAACCCCCTTTTTTCCTGAGTAATTACAGCACTGAACATTCCTCTGTTTTTAGCTTTCTGTTCCTAAAACTTGCTAGAGTTGAAATAGTGCTGGACATTTCTGGGAAGGGTGATGGGGAAAAGGGAGCCAAAACTGGGGTAGCTCTGTCAGTCTCCCTTCTTAACAAATGAGAAACAAGCCCCAGACTTACAAATTAAGTGCTATTAATTACCATCCAGCAGATATTGAACCACAATGTTGAGCTCTTAGGAAAAAAGTCAGAGGCTCAGGCTGGATACCAAAGGACTCCATTAGCACTCTCCAGAAGCTCTGCCTTGGAGACCGTCCTTCCACAGTGTGAGTTCCAGGGAGACACAGGGATACGTGTGTGACATCCTCCATGAAGCCCCTTCCTGTTCTGGGAGTCTAGGGAGACAGAGTGAGCTCATGGGCTTGGAGGACCAGATAGAGTGGGTGGAACTAAAGGGGAGATTCAAGGGTGTGTTCTCTAAACAATGAAAGAGGCATTGGCTGTTGTTTCTGGGCATGGCTTCAGACTTTACATACTTGATCTCTACCATATATAGGTAGATTTGGGCATACAGCTGATCCTTGAATTTATTCCCTCTACGGCTACCAGAATCTGAGGGTGCTTAAATTCTTTATTAAGTGGTGGAGCATTTACAGGACTGTTCCTTGCATCTACTTTAAATGTATCTCTAAATTCTCTACAGTATTTCACACAATTATAAATGTATTGTAAGTACACGCATGGGTACAATATTTTAAGAAATAAATATATTTTATTGTGTTTGGTCAAATCTGTGGATATAGCACCCAAATTTGCATTAGTAAAATGTCTTGCCTTGGACTAATGTTCTGAATCTGTACCATGTCTGAAGATGTCCTCAAATAGTCCACGGAGAAACTAAAACATGATGGGGTTCATGGGTCCTTGCTCTTGGCACCAGGCTCCTTTTACAATGAACTAATTTCTCCAGATACTAGAACTACAGTCATCACTGGACCAGTAGGGAAACGGAGACCCAGAGACAGTATCAAGAATCCATATGTGATCCAGTGGCCTTCTCTCTCTTCTTGATGCTGTCCTGGTCCCCAGGATTTCACAAACTGCCTGCACAGTGGTACAGGGCACTGGACAACTGGCTGTAGAGGGCCAGCTGTCTCTGTTCTTCCCTCACTTAGCTCACAGTGAGTGACCAGAACTTGCTCTGAACTTTGGCTCTAGATGCTAATGGCATGCCATGCTCTGCACTGAAGGTGCATCCCTACCCCTTTCCCCAAGACCTGAGCCCCAGCACAGCAGGCAGATAGCCACCGGTGTCCTTAAGGCCAGATCCACCAGGGGAAGCTTCTACTTTTCCTTTGAGAAGCACATCTCACTAAGCATACTATCTGGTTTCCATAGAGACAATTAGGAAATACACTGAGATAACCTCAGCTTTCACACCCTAAAATCCATATGGAGTGCTGCTCTGAAGATAATGCTGTCTGATGTGACAAATTTCTGGCTCCCAGGATGGCTAGATGACTAGACTTGATGCGCACTGGCACCAGACAAGGGTATATCATCTGAAGTCCTCCTCATTGGCTTTAGGGAGAGTGTGATGGTCCCTAGCAGGCTCTGCCCTGGTAGCAAGCGTGACTCTGAACTCTACCTCAGTTTTCTCCTCTACAGAGTCAGGCAATCGGCGTAGACCTCAGCACTGTGGCATTAGTATAGAGACTGTCCTGTGCTTTGCAGGATGCTCCACACCATCTTCGGCATCTCACCAGAAGCCAGTAGCAGGTGCTCCTCTCTCTGTTCCCAGTGGTGACAACCTAAGTATCTTCTCACACTGTCAAACTCTCTTGAGGCAAACTTGCATATTTGAGAACCTGTGGCCCAGAGGATCCTTAGGGGATCATCTTTGCTCTCAGGTTTTGCAGTTGGAAAGTGGTATGTGCACCCAGAACAGCCCAGAACAGCTGGGGTTGAGTCATCTGCCACCGTCACAAGTGCCAACTCTGGCATTTACATTTCAGTTTTATGTAACGGGTCGAGTTGTTTCATCTCTCCGAGCCTCAGTTTGCTTATCTGCAAAGCGGAGACCATAATGCCGGCTGTGCCTACTTGATGGGAGGACTCAATGAGGGAATGTGTGTAAAACTTCTGGCATGCTGAATAATGCCCCATCTACGGTGCTGGGATTGCCATGAATTGGATGGAAGTACACCCTGGCCATCTGCTCTCTCCACCATCCCTCTTGAGACTGAATCCACACAAATGCAAGGTTTCCAGCAGCGATCCCTATGCAAAGAGAGGGACTAATGGATGCCTGGAACATGTACTTTGTGCTGGGCACTATGCTAGGCAGTTTTTTAAGACTCCTCGAGCTACATCAGGGCTCATGAGGACTGCCAAATGCAAAGAAAATTGGTAGGACCAATTCAGAGCACAGCCACATCACCAAGCCAAGTCAAGATCCCATAAATACTCAGGTATTTATATGACATCTTCATAGCAGGAATGATTCCTCTTTCTTCTGCCATTAAGTTAAGATGACCCATTCCTCCGTTGTCCGTGATAAAATGCCACAGATCAGGAAGAAGTGATAAGAAAGGAATTTTTAGTTAGACTGGTTCCCTTGCAACAAGTTCATGTCTTCTTTTCTCTTTGGCTCTACCTAAACGGCAATTGACTTCAGCTCATACAGAAAAAGACAAGGAAATAATATCTGTCCTTAAGTCTGAGTTACAGGTTTCGATTTCTGCTACTCCCAGGTTCCCGTTTCTCGGGCCTGACAGCTGCCTGCTACTTCCAAAGCTACCTGAGGCAATAAGGCCCGGCTCCCCAGTGCATGTTCCTAAGATCGCATCCCTGCTCTGGCCTGCCCCAAGAGAGGTTTTATTCTTCAGTGGGGTATTGATCTGCCACCAGTTACAGGCTGCGTTTCTATATTAAGTGTCAACCAAGAGTGGATAGGGGAGGCTGCAGAGCGGCCAGCACCCAGGCTACAGGATACACTCCTCTATCCTGCAGGAGCCAACTGTGACCCCCTGGGAAGCTTTCCCCTGCTAATGTCCACCATGAAGGCCCCCATGACAGGCACCGAAAACACACCAGCCAGGGCATGTTGGCCCTGCCCCCACCACAGCCAGGCAGAACCAGATCAGAAGACAACCGCATTCCAGCCACAATCCCCATCCAGCCCCACTTAACACTGTCCTTCTCAAGCAAACTGTGCTGGCTGGAATAAGAATGTCCCTCACTGGCTCATGTGTTTGAACGCTTGGCCCTCAGTGAGTGGAGCCGTTTGGGAAGGGTTCGGAAGTGTGGCCTTGTTGGGGGAAGTGTGTGGCTGGCAGGAGAGGGGCTTTGAGACTGAGGGCCTTGCCCTACTTCGAGCTTGTTCTCTGCTTCATGCGTTTGGTTCGTAGTCTGAGCTGCCGGCTTCCTGCTCCTCCCACCGCATCTGCTGCGTGCTGCCGAGCCTCCCCATCATGATGGCGGTGACTTCTCATCCTCCTGGAACCCCAAGCCCAAATGAACCGTTCCTTCTCTAAGTGGCCTTGGTGGTGGTGTTTTGTCATGGCAACAGAATAGTAACGACTACAGGAACTCTTTTTCATCCTCCAACAGGCAGGTCAAAGGTCACCTTTCCAACGAAAACGTCTCTGACCTACCCGTTATTGTCCACAGCTGCATGGCTTCAGCATTTTGACACATCTCTGGTTTTTGCATGTAACCATACTGCCTTCTCTCTACCTGCCCCGTGGTACCAGGTATGAGGTTTCTTCATTGAATGAGTAGATGAACTAAAACATGGAGTGGGGGACATGTTGGGGGCAGACAGTGATCACAGTATCTAAAATGGCCTCAAGACCACAGTAGTCGGGAGATGAAGGCAGGAGAATTGTCTTGAGTTCTAGGTCAATCTGAGCTACATAGGGAGACACTGCAGGAAGAAGGGGAAAGGGGAGCAGAAGCAGGAGAAGGAGGAGGAAGACACAGTGTGGAATACCTGTCACCCCAGTACTTAGGAAACTGAGGCACTTCAAGTTCAATAGGAGATTGGTCTACATAGGACATCTAGTTGCTTCACACTACTTGATCCTTTAGTGCACTGCTTCTCAGACTTCAGTGGTCAAACAAATCACATGAGGAGCTCACTAAAATGCAGATGCTGACCCAGTGATCCCTGAACACGGGTATCTAGTAATATCATGCTATGAACCTCATTTTGAGAGGTGGACTCTGATTTATTCCAAGTTGTGTCACATCTGGCCTGAAGTCACTGTCCTGTCACTCTGAGTCTCCAGCAGAGCCAAAACACATTAGCTTCCCTGTGCCAGTTTAGCAAAGCAGCTCTGTTGGTTTATTTAGCCCCTCCCATTATTGCTGGGGGTTTGGGGGGGGGGAACCAGAGACATGCCACAGCTTGTTTACAGCAAGCCTAAGGAAAGTTAAAAGTGCAAGTTTAAAAAAAAAAATTGTACCATCAGCTCCTTAGAACCACATGTGTGAGGGAAAGGGGACAAGGGGAAATTCATAAAATATTAAACGACACTGTGTCAAGATACAGATAGGGGCAGAACAGTAATAAAAGCAAACAACACATCAAAACCCTGGCTAAAACTATTATTTAAATTGAAAGTAAACGCAGGAACTGATCATGTAGCCTTGTATAAATGTGTTTCCAGGAGCCTTTTAAGAATATTAATGATTATGGAAGCATAATGGCTGAATATCAATGATTGTTTTTACAACAAGTGACAGCTCAGAGGGAGAAGAAAGGAATCCAGATCTTTCCAAAGATGCACATTGGTGTGCTCTTCCGAGCACATGCATCCCTTCAGGGGCTAGAGGGAGTGCTGGGGATGATGACTAATTGTCCAGGCTTAGAAAGGGGCTCTCATATGGTGCAGGATGAAGGGCCTTTCAGAGGAGGGGCCTTGCCATGATTATGGGTCTCTTCATCTATGGCATCTGTGGAAGCCCAGAAGTTGGGGAACCCCCTGTAACGAAAAACTTCCTGTTAGTTGTTACCATCCCCCAGACACTTTCCCATCCTGCCGAAAACCTTCAGAAACGTTCACACCCAAACCCAAAGTGAAGATGGACAGGGCACACTGACATCCCAACACAGATGCTAGAAATTACACATAGGATTCCTTGCCTCCAAGGTCAAATGCTCAGAATACAAGGTAGTGCCAAGCCTAAGCTCCATTTCTCCAGTAGTCACAGTGAGAACGGGTCCCTCCTTAGGCGTGGCAGCTCACTGAAAGTCACTTGGAACATCTATGACTGCAGTGGGTGAACACACTGCCAGGAGCCTACAACGGGACACTGAAGGGCTGTCCCTTAAGGTCGGGTCCAGCCTCCTGCTGCCTTCTGAGCCGCTTGGTTTCTACGACGAGGCTACCTCTCCTGCCTACAGTTCCCTGAGAACAGACCTCAAGACTGTCTTTGGATAAAGTATATCCCAGCACAAGTCGCCTTCCTTTGTCCCCCATCCCGGGCTTTCTTCCAAAGGGCTCCAGCATGGAGATGATGCTGCCTCAAGACTGGGCTGCCCAAGTCCTGAAAGACTAGTAATTTAAGGAAAACATTCACTTTCATGGCTGCCTGTTTCAGCTTCAGGCTATAGCCTTGAGTCAGTACTGTCCTGGACTGGCTGCTAGGAAGCTGGTTAGCACTAACTTGTCTAGTAACTGTTGCTTAGTCAGCTGACCATAGAGCTCTGGAGATGTGAGCATATGTCTGGTTGGCTATCCAGCATCATTTTGCCTTCGTTTGTGAACTTGTTTTCTTGGGGGGGCGGGGGACTTCATGAGGACACTTGGCTATTTGGATGGCAACATCTGGGTATTTCTGCATTCAGGGGCTCAATACACTCATTTATTACATATTACATAAATTACGAAATCTTAGAGTGCTGATAAGTTCCTATTAATGATTCTGTTATTCTAACCATCACTTCTAATCCTCCCTCTCAAATCTCAGCTCAGATTGCCATTCCTGTAGGAATCCTAAATCTCCTAATGGAGCAGATTGTGAAGGCCCGAGGCTGGGCAGCAAGGAGGGGAGATTAATGAGACCCCCCACACCAACCGCTGTGCCTGCCGGAAGCCTGCAGAGCAGCTCGCAGCCCCCTCCCCGCCTGCAATGATTTTGCTCACCTTCTGGCAGCTTCTTCTCCTCACTGCTGGGGGCACCATCCCTCAAAGACTTGCCTGCATCAAAGTGGCTACTGTTTCCAGTCCTTTCTTTCACAATCGCTTTTGTTCTCTGGTTTTGATCCGGCATATGCTACGGGCCAGGCTCTTGTCTTTCTGCTTGTGAATAAATGGAAGCACTTAAGGAGGCAACAGAGCCAAGCATGTTCTTGTTCTCTTCTAATGAGGAGCCAGAGGGACCCCATTATGGCCTCCTATTTTCAGTCTGGCTAGGACGGTATACAGTGTGAAAGGCCGAACACTAGTCCTGGCTTTCCAGAAGCAAAGATAAGCTTTGCCAGAGCCACCTTTGGTATCTGCTCCTTCCCTAGGCCCTGGGTCTGTAAAGATCACCACTGTGACATGTGTGACCTCAAGGAGAGTTCAGAAATGTGAGGAGTAGACAGGCGAAGGTAGACAGGCTGTAACGGAAGCATGGAGAATAGAAGCCTTCACGTGGAAAAGGCTACTAGGCTGAATCTGGAAAGACTGAGTAAGCTCTAGTCAGAAGTCAACCATGGGCATGGTGGGGTGGACCTGAGATAGGGTCATTTGCAGCTTGGGAAAGGATCGAGAGTCATGCAAGCACATGAGTCCTGTAGAGAACTGGGCCGTGTCTGGTCTTGCAGGAATATGGCATTTGGGGGAGAAGTGAAGTTGGGGCTGGGAAGATCAACAAGGCCTCAAGGTGGAGTCAGTCACTTAGTACTTTTCACACTTGGTGCCTAGCTGTGAAGGGACTCTCCGGGGATGTCCTGCAGCATGCCTGCCTCCAACCACCTGATGGTAGCCTCCAACCACCTGATGGTAGAACAGTCGTCCAGACAGAGTGTTGGAAAATGCCGCAGGACATTGCTAGTACTTTCTGGGGAGAAAACTCACTCCCGGTTGGAATCTCCAAGCTAAGCTTCCCTGGAGCTGTTGGTAGTGGTGCCTACAGTTCTGTAGGTCAGAGCCAAGGGCCAGGTAGAGACCCATATGGGAGAACATTCTTGTGCATGATGGAAACACCTTCTGGAGACTAGATGAGGAGGAAGAGGGCTGAGGCGAGAACACAAGGTATCAGCATCCCGTGCCTGTGCAGAAGGGCAGGAGGATTGGCACAGGTACCCAGGAGAAATGAAAGCCAGGGGGAAATGTTCCAGAAAGAAGATGGCAAAAGACAGCTTCCAGAAGAATCTATCCAAATGTTGCAGAAGTGGGATGGAAGTGAAATGGGGGGGGGGGGGGGAGGAAAAAGGGGGGGGGGGGGTGGAGACAGAATCTGCTGGATACCTAGAAGGTATAGTTTGGCAGCAGATGGGCTCATGAACATGAAGGATTTGGAAAGGTTAAAAATACTAGACAGACATGCTGTAGTGTAAATGATATTCAAACACAACTTGCCAGGTCCCCCTCCCTTGAGCCTCTGGCCACAGGGACCCCAGAAGCTCATAAAGTAGCAAGTGTGTGCTCTGGGGTCTGGGTGGCCAGCATCATCCCTGCCCGAGGGGGTGTTCCGGGCCCTGTGAATAGCCACAAAGGATTCCTAGACAGCCACCTGTGGGTTCCCTGACAGCCTGTCTCCTGGGCTCAACAGCAGAACACCAGGGTGCTCCCTCCTACCCCACCTGCCAGTCTCATTGTTTACCCCGATGATCCCCTGGCACATTAAGGCTAATCGCTCCCTGATGCCATGGAGGAGAAGCACCTATTGACCCATTGATTCACTCATGTGGCACTGTGAGGCTCTGGCTGGAGCTGATTTGCCAGAACAACTTCCTTTCTCTCCTGCACTGTGTCCCTAAATGGACTTCTGTTGACAGTTTTTCTCCCCGGAGCTGGGGGATGGAACCCCAGGCCTTGTGCATGCTAGGCAAGTGCTCTGCTGCCAAGCTGCACCCTGCACCCCTGCCAACACTACTAATCCCTCGTCAGCCTTCACTCGTTCCTTCTCTCCACACTGCATCATACCACTCCCTTTCACACTGCATCACACCACCTCCCTTTCCTGACTTCCACACTGCATCACACTGCATCATACCACCTCCCTTTCACCCTGCATCACACCACCTCCCTTTCCAGATTTCCACACTGCATCACACTACCTCCCTTTCCTGACCTCCACACTGCATCACACCATCTCCCTTTCCTGACCTCCACACTGCATCACACCACCTCCCTTTCCGGATTTCCACACTGCATCACACCACCTCCCTTTCCAGATTTCCACACTGCATCACACCACCTCCCTTTCTGGATTTCCACACTGCATCACACCACCTCCCTTTCTGGATTTCCACACTGCATCACACCACCTCCCTTTCCTGAGTGAGATTTGCTATTAAAACAGAATCCTATGTTTCTTAGAAATCTGTTTCCCAAAAAAGATATAGCCAGGTTCTAACAGGCCATTCCTTTCTTGTTATCTCTTTGACCCACTCACGGTGTTTTTGGTCTGCCTACCTATTCTAGCAGCACTCAGCCCTGCCAGAGGTGAAGGGAGAGGGCCCAGCTCTTGTTTCTTGGCAGTACGACATGCTTCCCATGGCCTTGGTCTACTCCAGGCCTTCACGAAAGCATGCCCGTCCCCCAAAGCCACCCCCCCATATAGCCTCAGCAATCACACAGTTCCTTGCCCAGCCAGCCCATTTAGCTTCTCATGCTTTAAACCCCATGGTCTAGCCTCTGCTCTCTGAATATAGATAGTAGCCTACAAATGCTGTAGTACCTTCAGGGTGAAGGATTCAGGAAGCAGCTGTAGCCCTGCTCTGTTTGAATTGGTAGAGGGTGTTAAGAGGGGCTATGGAATTAATGCAGGAAGCAGAAAGACCTGAGGGTCCCAAATCTCTCATCCTAGGGCATCAAGTTACTCACTAAACTGGTCCCCTGCCCCCTTACACCTGAACTGCCTTTGCTCCACTGATAAGCATTCAGGGCTTATCTCTCACTTCCGCTCCTGCACAAAATGACAAGGTTGTTCAAGTTCCTGTCAGTCTTGGATGGGCATCGCTTTAGCCAGAAAACCAACAGCTGTGGGCACTTGTGGACCGCAGTCTCACGTTCATCACCTTGGCTCAGGTGAGTGAACACCACTGAATTCCATGAGGGCAAACAGGACAAGATGCTCAGTCCTGGAAGTGCATCAGTAAATGAGATGCAAGCAGATTCTCTAAGAAACCTGCACAGGACTAGGGAAAATGTGCTGCATGTGACTCTCTTGAACTTCGTGGGTAAATGAGCTGTGAACCTACATGTCCAATAGAAGCACATGCAGCATGCAGTGACCAGAGCGTTGATACTTACAACACCTGTGAAGCATGCTCATCTTATTCTGCAAGTGAGATAATGGAGGCTCGGTGTTTTCATCTTCATGGGACTCCTCCAAGGCTTCATGGCCACCAAGAGGCATTGAGTCTGTGCCTCCTATAGTCCTGGTCACTTCATGGGTCTGATAATCCTGGTAGGCTACCCACACTTTTCCACTAGTGACCCGGGCTTGCTACACAATGACCCTGGTGTCCCCAGCCTCTGTTAGACTTCAACGGTGTCACAGTACTGGGAGAAACTGTTTAAAGGAAGACAGATGTATTTTGCCTCCCAGTTTTAGCAGTTTCAGTCCAGGATTTCTGCTTCTCTTTTTTTTTTCCCTGGGCCTGTAATGAGGCAGAGCATCATGGTGGAAGTGTGTGGTGAATCATAGCTACTCATCTCATGAGAGCCAACAGGAAGAGTCAGAAGAAAGTCAGGAAGTGATCAGAGACACACCCACAGTGGTCTAATTCTTACAGTAAACCCCATCCCCCAAAGCTCCTACCACCGTGGAAATAACACTGCCAACCAGGGCACTAACCTCCCCACTCAGTTGGTGGGACATGTCAGAGCTGAACCATAGCACAGCCTGTATGCGTTAGCCTTCCCATCACTGTATCCGCAATACTTGAGAGAACAACTTAGGGGGAAAATTTATGTTAGCTCATGGGTTTAGGGTTTTAGCCCATTGTGGCAGAAAATGATAGTTCATTTTGTGGCAGCCAGGAAACAAAGGAAGGAATACAGGAAGAGGTCAGGGTAGGGCAGAACCCCCAAGGACACACCGCCCTCCCATAACCTATTTCCTCCCCCTGGCCTTTCACCTTCTGCCTTTCACCAACTCCCGAAATGTCATCATATTATGAATCCACCAGGAATTAATCCATTTGTTACCTCAAAGCCTTCATGATTTAGTGGGCTCTGGAGACCACCTCAGACATCAGACACACCCAATAGTGTGCTTCTAGATAAATCTTTATCCCATCAAGTGGATAGTTAAGATCACTGATCCCAGTTGTATGGGACTCCGGTGTACTCTTCTGCATATTGCTTGCCTCTGTCCCCTATCTAGCAAGATGCTCTTGGAGGGACATTCTCCCACAGCTCCAGGCAGGTGGGAAATGGGTAAGTAATGTTCACATGTGTGATGGCCCCTTCCCAAACCCTTCCTCAGGGTCCCCTCATCTCTGGATTCTGGGACCCAGGACTTCAGATCCACATCCTTCTGCCTGCAGAAGTCTTTCCTGGGTCACTGGGCACAGCTGTGTCCCTGTGCCTCTCTGCACTGGGAGGTCCTAGTGTGGTCCTTTCATCCTTACAGTGACACTTACTGCCTCAAAAGCAATTGGGAAAATGGATCGAGCCAAGTCAAATCTGATTTTCTTAAGAAAGAAAATCGAATTCTCCACTTGGTGAGGCAGACAGAGATGAGAAGGAAGAGGAACAGAAATACACAGCTCACCCAGGAAGGGGGGGGGGCCAGAGACCTAAAGGGTGAGAGAGGGAGCTGAGGAGCCAGGAATGCCAGTGGGCTCCATGCCCACAGCACAGGCAAGCAGTCTTAGCTTTAGGCCTCTGACTTACATGGATGTCAAGTCTTCTGATTTTAGAACAAGCCCAGGGACTACTGTGCTTGTCCTCATGGGTTTTAGTTATAAACTGTAAGCTCTTCTGGGTTGAGGCCACCACAAAGTCATCTGGGGAAAGTAGCACCTTCCCAGAGGGGACAATAGGGGGCTGAGATTCTGAGAACCTGGTCCACCATGTGTGAATCCCCAGCCTGAAATGTGCCGGGAGTGAGCATCCTATAGTCCAGCCTCCGAAGATGCTGCCCCAGCAGCCGCCTCTTCAGGGAAATATCCAGATGCATACATGTCTTCTGTCATTGTGCCAGCAAGTCTGGAGTAGTTTCAAAGCGTCACGGCCTATGAGAATTCACAGCTCTAATCTCTTCATTGTCTGGGGAAGGTGGCCATGTCTAAATTAGCCCTGGTGCACTGTGCTCAGGTCAATGTGTCTCAGAGGACAAGGCAACTCAGGGAAACCTGAAACTACCGGCCCGCCCCGTGCGAGTAAGTGACAGGTAAAACCTTTGAAGAAAGGGGAACATTGAGCCAGATCCTAAAGGGTGAGTTAGAATTTTACACTAAGAAAGTGGACATGGAATGTCACAGGGAATAACAGTGTAAACTGAGACACAGGGACCCTAAAATACACATGCTGGGAGATGGTGTACAGCCCCACCTTCCTGGCCTTGTCAGGAAACTGGAAGTCTGGGGTGGGAGAGGAGGCTAGTAAGGTGGGCTGGGACTGCTCACAAAGAGACATCTTGAGAAATTTGGATGCTTTCATGAAGCCAATAGGAGAGCCTTCTGAGAAGCCCCAGAAGAAATGCAGGGACATTTCTGAGAGAAAATTCTAGAACGCATGCATCAAAGATCTTCCACAGATCGGTGAGGGATTGAATTTAATGTCTCTCCTAGATCACTGAATGTCACGGTTTTAGGAAACATATGAGGGTGGGTGCCATACTGGATCCCATCAAACAGCGTCAGAGATCCACTCTAGGGTATTAGGGCTAGAAGGTATTGCGGCTAAGAAGCAAGGGAGGACAAACTCTTGGCTTGTCTCCTGGGCCCTCCTCACTGAGCACCAGAGCAGCCCTCTCTTCCCTCTGCCTATCTGCTTTGACGCGTCCAGCAGTGGGGTTGCGATTCCATTTGCCAACTTTTGCCACCAGAGAAGGAGAAAGTGACAGCTGCAGACAGAGACCGACGGCCTGAGTTTTCTAGGAAGAAAGCAAGCTAACTAAAGCCCCGCAGTGAGCTGACAGCAGATGCGAACTCCCACCCCCATGCTCTCCGCAGGTAGGCCCTGGCCACGCCTTAGCACAGGCTAGACCAGGTGCCGGGAAACACCAACCCCCCTCACTCCGCTGACCCTTCAACTGGGGTAAAACAACACCACCATTCACAGTGAACAAGGTGATCTCCACCAGAATGGCCTAAGGAAAGACGTGGAACGTGAATACACACACTTAGAAAGACACAAGAGGCCACCCTGCTTGGGGGTGAGCATGGGCAAGCTGATAGACATGGTAGGGTGTTTGTTTATGGACATGCCACAGTGAACTGTAAGGTGGGGCGTGGGATCTAGATGAGTGGGAGCACATTTCCCAAATCATGATGGCTTTCTGTGTGCCCCGCCTCAGCCAGGTAGTCACCAGCGCACAGAACACCAAAAGGAGCCCTTTTGTTCGGCTTTGATCCCGTCTGATAGCTCAGTCTGGCACAGAGACCCTGTCTTTGATCTCTCACACGAATGTGAAGTCTCTGGAGCTTCCAGAATCTCCTTGAGCTTAATTCTTCATGGCATACCAGGCACCACACTGTCCTCTCCCATAGATCACACGCTGTCCCCGGTCCTTCTGGCCTGTTGCCTCCATGGTTACCACAGACTGAGGAAACAACACCTGTTTCCTCCCCTCTCTTGACCTCTCCTCACCTAAGAATCAGGGTGGCTAAGCCTGGGAAGTACGGAAAGCCCATTAACCCATCACAAGAAGACGGGGCTTTGGCTCCTGATGCAAGAAGAAGTTTCTAGACTGACTCTCACCTCCCTGAACTTCACTCTCTTCCTAGGAAAAGCAGGAGCGCAAAGGCCTACCTTGGCACCTGGCACAGTGCCTGACCCCAGGGGAAGGCACTGTAAATATTATTCAAGGAAGGGCCCATTGACTCCTTGCTCTATGACAAAAAGGAATGCGGGAAGCTTGATCCCTTTGTTACTTGAAGTGTCGTAAGGACTCTTGGCACATCAGCAGGGCTCAGACTTGCTTTTCAATCTCAATACACAAATTAGAAGACAGGAAAGGGAGAAGACTCCAGAAGGAAGGCAGCTAAAGCATAGCCCTGGATTCATTCCCAGCATAGCCCATTCACAGAACAGCTCGGGAGCTTTCTCCATCCCTCGGGGAGAGAAAGGTTTTGCTCCAGCTGGAAAGCTGTAGCGCCCACCTATTTCAGCAGCAGCCCCTCCCAGAGGCTGCTGGGCTCTTTGGAGAGGCCTGATAAGGAGTGACATGGCTCAGAACCTCCAGGGTGTCCATCTGCTAGCTCATTCACTCTGCATCTTGTCCATAAGAGGAATGAACTATGACAACCAGTCGGCATGTGCACATGTGTGAGTGTGCCTGAGTTTACATGTGTACTGGACCAGGAGGGGAGGGCTCTTGCTTAGAGTGGAGAGTATTACAGTACTGACTCAAAGTGGACAGAAAATGAACTAACCTCAAGGAGACAGGAGGAATAAGATGGTTCGGCAGGAATCAGTCTTCCCGCCACCACCGCAACAGAGCCATGGGGCAGAGGCAGCAGCGTGTGGGGACCATCTGAATCTCCAGAAGAAGCCCTGATGTCCACGAAGTGCCAGAGCCAGGCAAGACAAAGGCTGAAAAGAGGTCTCTGCATTTCTCTTGTGATCATGTGAGCCCTGGGTTTTTCCACACCCTCTTTCATCATCATGGAGTTTCACAACAGCAATCAGATCATCAGGCTAGTTTCTGACAATTGTGCTCTTGAATAGAAGAAAATTCCCAGGAGCCCCAGCCAGGGAGAAAACAAAGATGGTTTTTACCTTCTCTTGAAGTATTTTGTTGATTGTTAGGCTTGTTATCCAGGTTCCAAGCCCCTACAAGCATCTGCGAAGGTCTCTTTCTCCCCGCCCCTTCTCCTCCTTCCCGTCTCTCTTCAGACCGCGTCATTTATGTAACTCAGCAAAACTTAATTAAGCATCTGTGATAGAATCATGGGCTAGGTACCAGGAATATAAATGAATTAGACAACTGCTTCTCTCAAAACCTCCCAAAGCAGAGGGGTAGAAGACATTCTGTTTGCTTTACTTGGGATCCACTGGGGGCTTTTAGCTTTAAAAGCATCAGGGAGATGGGTCCATCCAGGAAAAGCTTTCTCAGTAAGGAGGAGATGCAGGAAAGTCTGGCTTCTGGTGGCTTCTGATGCTGCAGGGCACGTGTGTTGGAAGACAAGAGTAGCTCGTTTTAACAAATGGTTACGGTATGTGCAGAGTGGGGTGACTAGCATGTCTGCTTCTTTGCCTAGCCATTCCCAGCCCTCTCTACATATCTCCTACCAAGACATTCTCCTCAGGCTCCACACTGTCTCTCTGCCTTCCATTCTCTGCCAGCTAGGCACAGCTACCAACGGGCATGTCTCTATTGGGAAGGCTGTGGAGGCTTCAGTGAGGAGATCATCTCTGCTCACAGAGGCCTACTACGTGCCAGAGCTGCAGGCTTTAACTAGGTGTGGGAGACAGCAATGGCAAAAATCATCAGCCGTGCCCATGTGGATCTCAATCAGCTGCAGGTTCTGGCAAGTACCAGAGACAACAGTCCTCCATGATGTGAGCAGCTAGACTATAAAAGGTATAGAGAGGAGGGTCAGTGTTTTCTTGGGAGACAAAAGGACAGCTTCCCGATAGCAGAGACACCTGGAGCTTGCCATCTAGTGGGGAAAATGAGATTTTGTGTAGAAATCACTTCGATACAAGGGAACATTAAAACATCATGGATACAGAAGGATCTGTTTAGCTGGGCCAGTGGTTCTCAACCTTCCTAATGCTGCGACCCTTTAATACAATTCCGCATGGTGTGGTGACCCCCAACCATAAAATCATCTTGTTGCTACTTCATAACTGTAACTTTGCTA